CTACATGAAAATATAAATATTGTCTTCTTAGCTGTTAAATACAGAGTTTTACTATGGAAATGATATACAAAAGATATTACCACTTCCAATGTCAACCACCAAAGGTAGAGCTGCATCAGAAAAGACTGCATCCCAGTTAATCTTGTGTGGGTATGCCTGCGTAAAGAAATCGCTTCAAACCAACTTTAGCTGTTCATCCAGATGCATGAATTGCATAGAGTCTAAACAAGTGCAGGAAAAACTAAAAGTAATTATAGTAAGAGGCAGTCATAGCCTAGTAAAACTAGGAAATACCTGTAATATTGAAAAAATCAATCATCAAGCAAGACATGCGAAAAATGTTTTTATGACATTTTTCTCCAATAGATCAAGATAATATTCTGCTTTTTGATGTAAAAGTTTAAACTCATAATTAATTTATTAAAAAAGAAAAAAAAAGGTCAAAAAAACTTACTCGGTCCAAGGCCAAAACCCCTGGAAGTTGTTTCCCTTTAAAGAAATCCCACACGACTGAAGCATTCTCGAAGACATTATAAGCAGATAGGGTACTTGATTCCTGCATTATTGCTTTGCGTGCTGTGTTTCCAACAACAGTTACATCACAATCATTTTGGGCTAAATCATATAGCTTTCTTGCTAATTTAGAAGCTCCGACTGTACTTGGGCTTGAATCACTGAATTTCACTGGACCAATCCATATAATCTTCTGCAACATAGTGTTTAAGTGTTAGACTGATGCTTGGGCGATTAACAGAAAAACAACTAGTTGGTGCTTAAAAATAATGCAGATAGCAGAATGCTTTATTAATGAACCTCCTGCAAGTCCATGACCATAAGAGCTTTTTTTGATAAGTCAAGTTCATGACCATATGATCTGAATCTTAGGATTTGTAATATTCTCTCTTGGGTTTCATATTTGCAGAATCCATCATTCAAAAGACTAGGCAGGTCTAGCTTGTGAAACTTTGGCCAATACTTCTACCCCCACCCCTACCCCAAAGATTTGAATCGTCACGAATTGAAGTGTGAGTGCACAGACATTTCATTGAAGGTATAAATAAATCGTAGGGACAATAAAAATGATCAAATCTCTTTTATTTGAATAAAGTAGATAGTATATTGTAACTTCAAGGAAAAAATTGAATCTTACCTTGCTATTTATAAGCAGGGCATTTATTTCATCCAATGATGTAGGACCAAGATCGACCGGTAGCCAACCTAGAAGAGAAAGAAGTTAAAGATAACGAAGTAACAAGCTTTCAATTTCAAAGGATCAACCTTTTAAAATGGAGACTCACACGACGAAAGGAAAATGAAAACTTACCATCTGGAATATCATGAGAAGCAAATATTTTCATTCGCTTTGAAGTTTCAACATCTTTACACCAGAAGTCCTTTGGATACACAATTTCTACGTCGTTATCAAGCGCAAACTGAATTGTGTCTGCAGCTTCCTTACATACACCATGATTCACCAGACGTGAAGAAACAGACAGCCCCAGAGCATGCATTATCTGAAATGACATCATTCCAACAAAGACCAACCCAGAGCATGTGGAAGCTAAAAAGTGCAAGGCAGCTGCTTTGTCCAAAAGGTTGCCTCCTCCAATCTGTATTAGGGAAAAAAAAAATCTTAATATATTACACCGAATCTTTCTATGACTGGTGAAGGAAAAATCCATCGCTATTCGAGTAGGGAAGGAGGGCATACAATTGCAATGTAAGGTTGGCTCTTGGTTTCTGCAGCCTTCTTTAGCTGACATAAACTTTCTTCAAAGTTAAAACCAGCTATGCAGGTACAGCAAAAACGAGTAATCCCAACTGTGGATGCTAGAATTCTATGAGACTGAGAGAAGGTATCGTTAACAAAAATATCAACACCTGAAGATAGCAGCTTGGAAAATTTTGAGCAATTAGCAACTTCTTCTTTGAACTCGGAAAGGTTCTCTAGAAGAAGAATATCAGCTTTTTTGAAGCTTTCTTTCGTTGACAGCAAATTAAATGAACTGCACTTTACTGGAAGAACTTCAAGTTGAAGAACAGAGGACAAGTAATCTGAAACGGAAAGCCACTGAACATTAAGAAACACCCAAGTATACCAAAACCGTCTAGAAGTCTGAAAGTGGAGCTCTGTTAAAGTTTAACTTTCGTGCATTAAGGTGTTCTAGTTTGTTCTACCTTGCTTTACCATGCTGACATAGGAACAACACAATCAATTCTCTCAAAATCCGTACTAATAGGAGAGAGGAGTCCAATCTATCCTTATTGAAATTTTACCCTTCTTTTTTTTACAAATTCAATTGGGCACAACCAATGGACCGGAGGAAATCACTCCATGTTCTAACGCACCCCACATCAAACATTATATCGCATATATGTAGTAGGTTATAGAACTCCAGTCATGAAATGAAATAACAGTGTGTGATATTGAAATCAGAGAATATCCTAGAATCTGTACCAGCGACAGAATCCATATCAGGATGTCTTGCAGTAGAGTTTATATTCCAGTTGCTGGCAAGTATCACTTTTGCTCCAGATTTGTATAGGTACTTAATGGTGAAGATTGCATTCTTCACCGAGTTAATCCTTGGGTCCATTTCTTCCTGTAGCAGTAAGGTTGAATCAAACCTGACCATGACAACTTTTCCAGCAAGCTCCTCTCTAGGAAATTCTCCAAGAGTTTGTACATGTGGAACAGTCTCCAAATTCAACCAACTAAGAGCATGATCCTACAATAATCCCAATTGTCGATCAAGACCACAAGCAAATTACATATAGTGCATTGAAAGTTGCGTTAGACTTCTAAATGGAATACTTCAAAAAAGCCATAAAATAAATAAATTAAATCAAGTTTAAAAGAATCGGTCATAGAAAATAGGAAACTGCAAATTCAAGTTATATACACAGAAATTAAATAGTAATGTTTCCTTTCCATCATAAGATAAATCGGCCAGCACAAAGAGGAAATGAACAATTTTAATACCTCAGAGTTCACCAAGTTCTTCTCACAATAGACTACCCCCAGACTTCGTGCTGAGACATAACTTCAAAATAAGACAAACTTGTCTAAGAACAGGGCGCAAATTCAAAGTCTCAAAATAGTGTAAAATTAATCTTATACCTTGTGTTGATAATAAGACAGAATGGTATCTGTCGTCATACTTTGCAACGTATGGAGAAAACTTACGACAAAGTAATTTAGATGGATCTTGAGCAACTACTTTGCTTACTAAAAGAGTTCCTTGAAGTGAATTTAAAAGTCGGCTCATCTCCTTTTTCCTGATTTCAGCAATGAGAATTCTGCCTTAGACTTCAATAAACATATTGTAAAATAACATGCAGCAGACCACTTTCAAACCCGAAAGTGGCCCAAACAGTAAAAGCATCAACTTACAAGCGTGTCCGCTATTGAAAAACAGATTAAATTGAGAATTTCAAAGAGAAAATAGCTCAATATACTCCATTCCAAACCACAAATGTGACAGTAAATAGTCCGGCAGATAAAGATTCTCAATGCCAACAGTCTCTAATCAAAGAAATGTTTAATCTAATTGGTTTCTACGAACCAAAAGCAATCAATTGGCTACACACAACCACTGAAATCACCGAAATGTTTAATCTAATTGTCAACAATGGCCACAAGAATTGCTAGCTACAATAAAATCCCGAAGAAAATAAAACATTGGCCTTTAAATCGATGAATTTCAGTTATGTAAAATGAAACCCAAGACATCAATCGGCCATTTTTTTCATCTCTCTTTATCACTTACCGGTGAGGAAACGGACGCTTTGGAGGTGAAGAAAGTAGCAACCCGCAAGCTTCGAAGTCTATAATATGACGACGTGTCGTCTGTTCTTCGCGTATTATCCACTAAACTATTTTAGTTCAATTAAATTCGTTAATCGTAACATAATTTAGTAAATAAGATACAATATATCTTATTTAAAAGTTAAATATTCAATTCTCCACTCCTCCCCATACTTCTAAATATCTGTCAACACGTTGATATTTACATTTATATATTCACGTTTCTATGGGTTCGACATCGACATGAGGGATGAATCAACATTTCCATCATAGCATAAAAAAATCAATAAAATATGAAAAATATCAACAAAAAAAAATCTCACTAATATATAATTAATATTAATTATTTTTGAAATAGAAAAATATTTATTTATTAATTTAAATATTTTTTACTATTTTTTAATTTTTCTAACTTTTATAGAAATTTCTATGGACATCTACATTTTATCGATAATTCCATAAAATTGAAACCTCGACATTTTCATCGACATCGACATTAAAAATCTTGTTTCTATCTCTGTAGGAGAAAAATAAAATTAGTTAAAAGGATTTTAGGGTTGGTATCAATGTTTTTTTTCATCCCTCTATGTTCACGAGTGAAATGGAAAGTAAAAAGAATGCCAAGTTACAAAAAAAAACAATTCTAAAGTATTTTGTTTAGAAAAATATCTCTATTATTTAAAAAATATTTAGTATTTTTCTCGACGTTTCATAAATATTTTAAAAATATATTTTGAACAAACCTACGTTAATATTTTGAACAACAAATTGATGGATCTAAAACGACGTGACAATTAACATGAAAACTTACGTTGAACAATTAATTGTTGACACTACAATATATTTAATATTTAATATAGTCGATTGTGTGTATCATTGTTTCAAAAATAAAAAATAAAAAATAAAATTGTGTGTCTATCCTACTTGTTAATCTTGTTGCATAATCGTTCCAAGCAACCTCCTAAGTTAATTGGCATATCAACTTCACATTCCAAATATTAACGAATATTTGTTCAAACATTTATAAAAAGTCAAGTGTACTACTGAAACTTTTGGAATGATACGGGTATTTTTGAAACTAATAGCAACGTTCAACGGTACCTCTCTCTTTTTAATTTAGCCTAAATAAAATTGAAGTTTAAATCTTACTTTGTTTCAAGTTTGGTATGTTTTGGGTATATACTTCTAAAATATTATTTTGGTCTATATTTACTCTAATAAAAGTCTAACAATATAAACGTTTTAATGCAAAGCTATAATAACAGTGTTTGCATTGAAACTGTGATCGAACACAAGTATCAGGGGAAACAAAAACAGAGTGACCAAATAGAAGTTTTGAAATTGAAAGCCAAAAATTAAAATACATAAATAAATACATATGTTTTATAAGTACGTAAACTAACTAAATAAAAAAGAACAGTAGATTCGAATCATCACCTCATATATTATACGCAACACAGAACCTAAAATAAGCCCGATTTAAAAGCAAGTGCCTGGAAACAACATTTTAAACAACAACAAACTAATATAAGCTATATTTAATTTAATTTTTCTCTCTCTCAAATCCTATTTTTATTTTCTACGTAAAATCCTAAACATTAAACATACTCCGAAGTCAAGTGAGAATTTTGTTTTGATTTTAAATATAGAAGAAAAAGTTTAAAAGAGGATATTAAATTTCACATCTTCATATCTTCATGAATTTAAAATTAAGATAAATAGATATTTTTAAAATATTAAAAAAGAAAATCGATAAAATATAAAAAATATTAACAAAACATCGACATAAACATAATATTAAAGTAGTATTCATCGGTCAAATACTTATCTATTAATTTAAATATTTTGACAAATTTTTTGTTTTTACAATATTTTCAAACATATTTATTGACATCAATACAATATTTTCATCAAATATTTCTGTAAAAGTTTTTACAATATCAAAAACGTTTTCAGCATAATAAAAATCTATATTTCTTTTTAGACATTTCTTATAAAAATAATAAATAAATAAAAAGAAGAAAAAAGAAAAAAAAAGGGTGACGATCTATTTCATTGTTTCTGTCAATCTCCCCATTCACAGCGAGTATTTTGACTTCCGGCGACATCACCGTCGACTCTGTACCTTCCGCCGTCCGGTTATAGAAATCTGTCAGTCGACATGGGAGTGAGCTTCGTTGTTGGCGTCTTCGGAGTTCTAATTCTGGCTCATGCTGCTTATTCTACCATCCAATGTATGCCCTAAAACAACCATGATTATACTCTCTAATTATACCTTTCCTTGCTTGTTGAGTTCCCGATTGATCTTGTTTTGGTTGCAGATAGGAACTTATTGAAGATCATGCAGGAAGAGTTCTCAGCACCTCCAGTTAATGTATTTTTCTGCTTCTTCTTCTCACTCGATTTGAGGTGTTTTTGAATTAAGGATTTCTTTTTCCCGTGATGTTAGGTGGCAATCGAATTGATCATAGGGTTAGTATTGTCTATGTGGGCTGCGCTCACCGTGCCAGGGAAGTTCCTATCGATTAATCCAGATTCTGAGGAGAATAGGTACCTTTTCCTGTCAATTTGTGCGTTAAATGTGATTTTGCTAAATGGGGTTTTTAGATTGGAATCGCGTCATTAGTTTTTCCCATTGGATGATATCTGTCCATCTCCATAAAACAGTGATACTTGAATATATCGTATATTGGTAAACGATAAGGTTTAGGGTTGAAAGTTACTGACCCATTGCCAATCCAGAGAAGCTAGCTCCGGTAGCAGAGCTCAGCTTTAAGGTAATTACCAAATTCTAACATGTCCAAAAGATCAACCCAATTGTGTGGATATGCAATATGTCAAACATTCTTTTAGGGCTATCTGATCATCCTGTCTTGCCTTCAATTTGAGGAATTATAATCGAATAGAAGTCGAACTTTGTTCCTACTGAATCAAAAAAGCCCCACAAATAATAAAAATGGCTAACCCTAGTTGCAAGTGCAACAGAGCAAATTCACTATCACTTGTATTGTGTCTCCATAAGAATTTTGTTAGGTAAACAGCAGCATTTGCACTCTTGTGACAATGCTTCTATCCTGATTCATAATTTTGGCATTTTGTTAAATAATTATCAATGAATGGCTTAAATTAGGCGGAAACCTCAATCCAAAGTCATGTAACCTTTGTTATAACAGTCTTTAGCTCTGCTGTTCTATCTCAGTCTGTCCACCTTCTTTGTGGTCTGGTGATTTATTGCTGTTCCTTCTTCCGTTTCAAAGTTCAAATTAGAAGCGCAAGGGCATTGAGTTTCTTAGGATTTAGTAGTTATTTTTGTTTTTTTAGAAGGTTTTATAAAGCCACTCTTAAATATACGAGATAGTTGGATATCTATCAATTATAAGTTTTATAGAATTTCTCTTTTTGGGCTGTCCAATTTATTTGCATGGAGTAGATTCCATCCCTTCAAATCTGCTGCATCGTGTACTTTATTCAAGCTCAGAACATTCCAAGAATTTGGAGTTGTTACTACTAAGTTCACTGTTATTAGCATCTTTTTTGGCACGAAAGTTCATTTGTTTACTTATAGAAGAACATTTTCTCCGTTGCAGGATAGTTTCTCTTCCCGCCAATTCAGATTTTATGGTCTTCAACCACAGAGGCAGATTATTTCCCCTGCAAACGGATTTGAAGCTGAAACATTGAGATCTCATTCATGCTCCAAGAAGGTCCTGGGGAGTTAAAGCTGGAAGCATGAAGTGGACGTTATAGAGCTTAAAGGAGATATTGCTGCATTCCATCAATCTAATGTTTCTTTACTTGTTTCTATTTTGGATATTGTGAGACCTTTTCCCTGTTTAGACAGTCTCTTCCTTAAAACAAGTTTTCACCATTGTTATTGAATTATTCTCTTCCATAAAAGATTAGTATGTTTTTCTGCATTCTCCATCAAAATGAGATTAGTTTGTTTTCTAACTGCAATTGGTGATTGGTATCATCGATATGGTAGTTAATCTCTCTTCTGTTTACGATCCATTGTCATTGAAATAGACCTCTTTTGGATGGAATAAAAGATGTGGTTCTTGTTTCAAAATGAACTCTGTATTCTGATGCAAACTTGATAATGTCTTTTTGCTAATTGTTGTGCTAACCTTTGTTAATAAGGTTTTCTCTCGATAAGAAGAGTCGGGGTTTTAAAGCAACATTGTGACCAATGTAAGGTTCGAACTTGAGACCTTTAAGGAAGGTGATAGTTTATCGTTCCAAGCACTTGCCACTGCGCCATCCTCGTAGGACATATCAAAACTAGGTTAAATTGATCAAATCTAAAAGAAATGAATGAAACAAGAAAGAAAAGCTTGTTCATTTTATAGATTTAGAACCTAGGCACATTTGCCATTGCAATATTGAAGAGGAAGCATGGGCTTCAGAAAAAAAACTTTAACAGGGTTGTTGGTTTATGACTGGTTGAGCTCCTCTGGCTTGTCTATAGAATGTCTGAGAATATATTCAACTCTCCTCTTCTTTTCATCTCTCTCGTGGTTCTTTTGATCTCTTTCATCGTCTCGTCTGACCCCAGATTCCCTAATTCCTGCCATTTTAGCACCCAAATTCATAGATCCTCCAAGAAACGTTTTGCTAGTTTCTAACTTGAAATGAACAAGAGGTCTCGCATGAGGAAGAATCTTTGCCTTCTCGTCCTCACCATTGGGAAAATCACCACCTTTAATCGCTTCAATGGCAGGAGCAAACACCTCCGGCACAGACAAATGGCCTCTCCCATCCTCGGAGATTAAATTTTCAGAAGCCAATCCAATCAGGGGAACCCCATCTTGTACCTCTTCCAAACATGTTCCTGAAAATGCAATCTCGCCATTGCCACATCTTTCTGAACCACAGGAAACCAATCTCTGCTGCAGACCCAACAAAGATTTCTCCGCCTTCCGCCGCTGCCGCGCCAGCTCTATCTTCTCGGCCCGGGGCTCTCTTGGCTTCCTTCTCCACAAAGCCGAATGATGGTAAGTGTGAGCATCAGGGAGAGCTGGTAACCAGTTGGGAATATGTTTGCCTGGCGGGGTTTCACCAATCTGAACAAAGCTTGGAATTGGTTCCCTGTTTTTGATCACTGGGAAACGCGGTAGAGGCTGAGCAAAAGGGATCTCTTCAACTGAATCAACATAGCGAACGATGTTCTTCACTGACCCAGAATTGGCAAGACACTTATTGGGTTCCCAAGCACCTTGAAAACCCTGCGATGATTCCAATTCTTCAAGCCCTCTAATTATATCAAACACATTGCATTCAACTCTACCAGATAAATTGGCGTAGAATGCTGCTATTTCCCCCAAATGACGAAGGTATTTGATGGCGATGTCGGCCAGCGAGTCGAGAGCGGACCCCTCGAAGCTCTGAAACCCCGCGGTGTTACACATCTGCGCCACAGCGATCCTCGACACCTCCCGCCCGAACTCATTGGGTCTGAATTTCCTCGAATCGGAGCTTTGATGGTGGTTGGACTGCATGTTATTCCGAGCCCCATCGCTCATTGGTTCTGCATTTGAATCTTCTTCGAATCCATTCCACCGCACGCTCAAATCGAGATTCTAAAAAGGCATCGGGAAGAAACTAAGTCGAAAAGCTAAAAGGGAAGCCTTAAATTGATGGAAATAAGACTCCAACTCCAACCCATCTCGCGAATAATCAAGGGAGGATCTTTGAAAATTGTAAAGGCGCAAAACCCTAGAGGAGGAGGAGGGGGAAATGTTGAAAATTTGAGAAGCAACAGAAATCGAGAAAGAGGGAAAACGAAGGTGGAGGGAAAAAACGCCGCCGCAGATCCTCGACGTTTGAAAGCCGATTAAACTCTTAACTCCAAAACTTTCAGGTTTTCGTTTTAAACAGCACTGAGAATGCCTCTTGCTCTGGTATTTATGCGTATATTAGTGTTTTAAATTTTATTTTATCAAAATTTTAGCGTAACAATTTATTCACCGAAATTTTTGAAATAAGAACATAAATTTGTATTTAAAAAGTTAAAATATTGGGTATAAAAATTGTGTTTAAATTTTGCAAATAGATATTGAAATACTTGAAATAGTTATGAGAAATCGGAAGTGCAACTACCAAAATAAATATTTTAAAATATCAAAATGAAAAAAAGTCAAAGTAGACCACAGAGATGGTTTTTAAACTTTTTTTTTTCTTTTTGCACAATTATGTATTTTCCTAGGTTTGGATTGGTATTTATACCGTAATTTAAATAAAATGGTTTTTTTTTTAATGTTCAAATTTATTGAAATCTTGTTTTCTTTTTCTAATAAAAGTAAAATTTTATTCTTAACTTTGAAAGGTGTGTTCTAATATTTCAAACTTTTGTTCTTTTGGAAATTTTACTTTTGACAAATGTATAGTGTGATTTAAGTACTTGTATTAAAATAGTGATGGGAGTATATACTATAGCCCCATAGATTAGGTTAAGACAAGTATTAGGTGTTGGGAATTAAGTTATGAAATAATGACAATCAAAAAAATAGTTATTCAATTTATGTACTAAAATATACCTTTCAAAATTTACAAAATATATTTATTTTTTAAAAAATTCGAATGACTAAAATATACGTTTATAAAAATGGTATAAATTTAAAAGTCTAGTTTTTTTTTCCTTGTTTCAAAAATTGTGGTGCAGAGGTCCGACCTTAAACTTCAAGTAAAATAATAGTTATCTTATCTATTGAGTCATATTTATGTTAATCTTCAAAATAGTTATTTGTTTAAAAAAAAATTCAATGACTAAAGCAGACATTTTTAAGAAATAGAAAATAAACTTGAAAATTTAGAAGCGAAAATGAGATTTAAACTTAATAAAAATTGTTAAATTTTAATACTATTTTATTTAATTTGACTCCATAGAGTGTGAAATCCAACATTCAATCTTAGAGAATGAAATAAGCCTCATGTTTGGATGGGCCATTAACAACGTTTTGACATGATGGCGAGACATGAAATATCTTGTTGGACTCAAGTGGGCCTAATACAAATCGGCCCATGTGTATGAATATCCTGCAGTGAAGTTGGGCCTCAGTATCGAATGGGCCCGTCACGTATCGGCCCATGAATGGCCCCTATTATGGATGGGGCATTCTGTTCTACCCGCAGCGCAGATAAGCAGATAGAAGAAAACCAGGAAATATCGGTGCTTCTGAGAAGGCGCAGCGAGAGAGACGAGGAAATGGAGAAGTACTTCGGAAATGCGTACAGAGGTGACCCGGGAGTTCCCCACGCCGACCCGGATCGTTTCGTCAACATTTGGATTGGATCCGCCGCCTTCTCCGTCCTCACCTGGTTCAATCCCTACATGTGGCAGCTCTCCAATCAATTCAAGTACTCTTCTTCAACTCTTATTCTGCTGCGCAATTCGCTTTCCCGTTTCTCTAATCTGTTTGTAGCTAATTCGTCTGTGTTTTGTGAATTCGCTACATGGATAGTCACTACATCGATGTGCTAATGTTCAATTTCTGTAGGAATAGTTTCACCTTGTTTTTGGTGGGTCGGTTTTGAAATTAATTTTTAATGGAGGAAGACTCTGAAGGGATTTAATTGTTGATCGATTTCTGTCAGGCTCCCACAATATACCCGCTTTATATCTGACCAGGTAGGAATGCACAATTACAAGAGACCATATCTAAGAATCACCGACAGTTTAATTTGAATAATGTATTCGACACGAACACATGTTGGATACTCTTGACACTCAGTGACACACTTATCGGAAATTTGTTAGTTCAATGATGTGTGTCACACGCTAATTGTACAAAGGAAATATGGATTTAACATTTATTATAGTTATGGAACACTTATTAAGCATAATAAATAGAAATAAATGATAATATTAACAAAATAATAAATTTTGGGAGCAAAATACATCACATTCATTTTTTTAACCATAAACTTATTGAATTTGAATTTCCTTATGGTATAAAAGTTGATATATACTTTAAAGAATTGTATATTTCAATTAACGTATCATTGACGTGTCCATGTCTTAGATTTTTAGAAAATAAAGTGTCATCATATCCCTATCTTGTCATATTCCTGTCTCGTGTTTGTATTCGTGCCGCTTAAGACCATATCGTTCTAGAAGTATTAAGGACTTCTTTCAGCTTCATGGCCTGTATAGTTACAGTTATAATCTAGCCACTTATTATTCAACTAGTTGTGGAATTGGAAAAAATGTACATTTATTTTCCTGCGGCGGTGTAAATTTGGTTATTGGACTTAATATTCGATTCACATTACAATTTATGCTATTGTACAAACAATAGTATCGCCGATGCATCCACATTTACCAAGAAGAAAAGAAATTCGCTTTTCTTGACGTCTTCTGGCGAAGGTATAATTTTTTATTTTCTGCGGACTAGTTTGAGCACAGCTCGACTAATCTCATGAGATAATTGTCGATCCGGTTCCAAAGAAATACATAAAAAATTAATTCTTAAGTAGGTGGTCATTATGGAATTTGAACTCATTCCCTCTAGCCTAAGAGTATAGACTATTGTAATTATATATATGGTTTTATTCCTATATTGTTCAGTGCTGTTCTTACTTTTGGATTCTGCTTCTTTTTGTCTTGAGAGAGCCCTCTCTTACATGATATAGTGATTATGGAGCCAGGTTATGTTATGCCTTTATGTTATTGCTTAGTTCATTGATGTTGTCATAGTAACTTAGAAGCATGAATCTAATTTTGATAAAAAATGTACGTGGCTGGGTTGTTAATAGTGGAGATATTGGAATCCTTTTTTGTCGATCGTTCTGCACTTATACTTCTTTGCGTTATGCTCATAGAGATCACGTGTGTGGGACGTGATGCTTTATATTGTTTTTCTACTTCTCCTTAGCATTTTGTCATCTTTATTTTCTGTGCTCATATTTGAAGTACGAGTTCTCAATTTGTAGTTGGCATGACAAAGCATTTCTGTTTGAGCAATACCACTGGAAAAAGGCCCGACAAAAGAATCAACCATACCAGTTCAAGGTGACATTGTTTTGCTCCAGTTAATTTAAAGCATGTATTGCTGCATATGAACTATGTATATTAAGATTTCATGGAATGCTTCTTTTGCCCTTACAAAATTTGCACTGCTGCAGTGGAATCAGTACATGGACAAGGACCACCGAGATTCCTACTATTTTAACTGGCCCGTGTACTTTCCTTAGGCTCTCTGATTATGTAAGAACACTGATGCTTGCTGCTTAGTTATTTGGTCTGTTAGAATGGCAAAAGAGAGTATTATTGCACTTTAATGCTTGAAGGTTTATGAATTTGTATAATCATGTTTCTTTTAGACCCGCTTGGATTATGCCCTTCATGTGGCCATTCTCTACTATGATGTCGTTTTTTATAATTGCAATGCTCAAATGCTCTATATTCAAAGAACTTAGAACCTGTAGTAATCATTTCTGAGAATGCATGAATTATATAAATTGAAATGGAGCATAGTTACTGAAAGAACTTAGAACCTGTAGCATTTTGTTTTTGTCTTATTGAGTATTGGAGATTTGAACTTCCGACCTCAAAGCAAGAAGTCGTCGTCTTTATCGTTGAGCTATGCTTACATTGGTACTAGAAGTGCATCTTATCTGCTCTTATTCTCACACTTTACAGGTGAAGTATCCTGATTCTAAGATGATATTGCAGAAACCCAATTTCATATATGGATTTCTTAGCAGTAGCCCACCTGTGATCTGGGCCTGAATTATCAGTCAAGGCCCAAAGTACAACACTTTTGGGCCCAAAACTTTCTTATCTGTTGCCATCCTTGAATCACTGTGCCCACTTTTGAAGCACACCATCATTTCTGGCTTTACAATTACTATACGTAAAGGAAAAAGTTGCTATGTCCAAACTACAAAGTAAAGCATTTCATTCCAAAAGCTACCCATTTGTTGTACCACATGTCATTTCTGACAAGCAAACTCCCACCTAAATAATTGTTGGATGGGAAGATGGTATTGGAGAGGAGAATTTCAACCAAGTTTAGAAGAAGACTATTTTTTTTCCCATTAGCTTATCTAATTATAGAAGTCAAAAATCAGAATGATTATGGTGATCATCTTCACTCTTCATGATGATGATATTCTCCAAGTCATTCTCCATATTGCTAACCTAAAAATGGACGAATTTCCCTTTATGCCATCCTTGTACCTGCAGAACTCTCTAATCTTAGTTTGTTGTGCAAAATATCTTTTTCTAGAATTTGTTTTGAGAAACTGCAGTCACATGTACAAAATCAAACATATTTTCAATGAATTTATCTAGTTGTTGTAGTTTAAGCTTAGTTTCAATTTCGTCCTTGAGATTTTAAAGTCTCCCTTTGGTTCTCATGGTTTGGTTAAACATCATAAATAATTTCTAGACTATTTTCTAGCCACTCGAAAATTCACTCATTTTTGCTCTTATTTTTCCTCATAAACCCATAATACAATTAGCTAATGCAATCAACTATATAGAAAATATCAACCTCGTGTATGGAAAAAACGTGTCACGGTATAGACAATTCATGGAATTTGATAGACCAACCCAGATGACTTTTAAAAGTCAATTAAAACTTTTAAATCTAAAGGACCAAAATTGAAAATTTTAAAATCGTAATTTCAATCATTTTCATTGCGGGAAACGAGAACATGGTTTATAAGAACAACTTCCAAACACATCTTCAATATTCAAAACCCATGGTTGAAGGAAAAAAGTGAGAAGAAAAATGTATAAAAGAAAAAATTGCAAGATATCACTTTTGAGGCTGTTTAGTTCCCTAAAAGGTCATAGAATTTGGTTATTTGTCAACTTGAAGATTTTGGAATCCAGGTGCATGAATTCAAACCATACGACTCTTGGAAACCTTTTTATTATTTATTTATTTTTATTTTTTGCAAAGGACTTAAAACTTTTTTTTGGGGAATTAGTGCTTGCCAGTAAATTTGACCAACTGATTTTTCTCTAACTTAGTGCATCACACGTGTTTAGTTTTCATGGCCCAATTGTTTGTCAAATCATATGATTTAATTATGATCTTTTTTTTTACCTTATGTTAAAATCAATAGTTTTCATTTATTCTCTCATCATATATTGTCGTGAAATTACTAACCTCATAATTTTTAGTAAAAATAATGCATTAGTAACAAGTTATAACAAGTTAATTAGCAAAGTTCAATTAGAAAAAAAAATTGTTTCTATCTAAACCAAAAAATTCTTGTACAATACTTTTCCCTATGTCTACCTTCTTTAAATTGCTGCCTTTTGAATTTGTTAATTAAAAAAAAAGTAGAAATAAAAATCACATATTTATAGAAATTTTATATCCATATTTTATTTGGAGAATTAACGAAGATTTTCTTTTTTAAGTAGTTTTCTTTTCCCATGATATGCATGGGGAAACTTTCAGTATCACAATTAGGAAGAAAGAACTTTACGCTATAGCCATATATATACAATTATATCACTAGTAATTAAAAAAAAAATGTGGAATCTATTAAATGAAATAATTAATAAAATTTTCATGCAATTAACATATATAGAAATGTTATCCAGGAGCGGCGGAGATGAGAATGACTTTTCTATCCCCATTTCCGAGAAAATGTTCCAATAAATTTTACAAGAATCAGAGTAGGAAGAGAATTCATGCTCTAGCATGATTATTCCTCATTTATTTATTTAGAAATTTTAAATCTAATTTTTTTTAATGGTACGTAAACATTTGAATGGTTAGATTGTAATGATAATATTTCTATACATATATATAAATGAGGTGGGGTGGGAACATCGACAATATGGTGCGATACTTTTATGAAAGATTAAAGGCTACATTTTCCTTCACATATAGTTCTTGATATTTTTTTACGGTATATATTAGAGTTTGCGATGTGACTATGTCATACAATCTCTTGTTTTATGTTTTAGTTTAAAAGTTGCTTAGTTTTTCCAAATTTCGTTGTAGTTTCAACGTGAGCACTTTTTTTATTTGTTTCCTTTTTATAGTTTATTTTTATACCTAAAGAATGATAACTTAAAAGTTTGAGAACATTATGAAAAAAACCACCATGTTGTCAAATCTACCATAATTTCAAAAATTGCACCTTCTTAAAACAACAACCATTAAATGGAAAATGATTGAAACCGAATTTTGTTTTCTATAGATGACCTAACTTAAATGAGTGGAGATTCGAATTTCTTCTTAAAAGAACACTCGAAATGGAGTATTCCCAAACCGACGCAATTCCTCGAAATAAAGGATAGGAATCCATATTTTATGTAGAATATCAAGACTGAAAATTCAAGTTTTATGTGAAATTAGAATGCAGCAGACTACGTACGTAATCTAATATTTCCATTAACTTCACACTAAGTCAAAATACATTTTTTCTATATACTTTGGTTGGAGCAACAATATAGTTCACGAATTTTACTACATAACAACTTAATCCTTAAATTTTAGCATGTAACAATTTAAATATAATAACTTTAAACTTATAATAACTTAGTATTCTCTACGATAAAAAAAAATAGGATGTGACATTTTTTTAAACTATATTGTTATATTATTAAAATTTATAGACTAAATTATTTAAAGTAAATAACCAACAAATCTAAAAGTAATTTTATTTTTCAAAATTTGATTGAGGGCCACAATGACTTTCTCCCGCCATTAGATACCAAACCAAGATATTTTATTTAATATGGAAATTGTTTCTAGTCAATTATGTTATTATTAAACCGACATAAAGAAATAATTTTATAATTCTTTTTTTAGAAAAGTGAAGTTGGTAATTTTACATTCTTAGAGGAAAATCCATCTAAAATTTTTTTACCGTTGGAGAGAGAAATTAGAGGCGCCAAACGGAAACACGTGGGAAGCGTAGTATGAAGGGAAACGGAAAACCAACCAAAAGGCTAAAGTATTTTTGGCGTCAAATTTCAAACTTCACACGTGTCACTGACGTGGATTGGGTCCCACCGGTTCCCCTTGCTTGTCTGGCGGCTCGGTTGGTGTTGCTTCACGAGCTGGCTTTAAATAAAATTCGTTCTCCACCCACCAACACCTACACGTGTCAATTCCAACTCATTCTTTTTCCGGTCACTTTCTGTACGTGTGGAATTTTGCTCCTTTTTCAGATAAATACATTTTATATTAATTAATTCTTTAAATCAAGTTACATGTTTAATCCTTAAACTTAAAATATCACGTCTCATATATTTTGAATTTTGAAAAGTGTTTAATACGTTTCTGAAATTTAAAAGTTTTGAAAAGTTGCTTAAATTTTCAATTGTAAAAATATTGTGTGACAAATCTATTAGGTTCAAATTGATAGTTTAGAAATTAAAAATTGAGGGACTTATTAATTTTTTTTAAAAAAATTTAATGATATAAAATTGAAAGCTTAGAGACATGTTAAGCAGTTTTCAAAATTGAAAAATTTATTAGACACAATTCTGAAAGTTTATACGCTAAACTTATATAATATTTTTTATTGGAGTGGAGATTCAAACTTACGACCCTTTGGTTAAAAATAAGTAACTTAAGTAGTTAGCTATAACTTAACTTTTAAGATATTGTCAAATCATTGAAATGTAATTCATAATCGTTGTGTTTGATTTTTTCTTTTATATATATAAAAAAAGTGGTACTTTTCAAAGTAAAAATGTTAATTTTATTGGTACTACATATTTTTAGTTTGTTTGGCCCGTAATATTAATCAAATTCTTAATTAAAAAGCTAATTTGTTTACAAAAAGTTGATTGTTAGATTTAAAAAAAAAAAGCAGTTGTCCTTCCTTTTTTTTATTTATTTTTTTTTAAAGATAAAGCTGTCATTTTAGATCTACCTTAGTCACTTTTCATTAACTATTTTTTTTATTATTTTTTTGTCTTTAATGCGCTCTTCGATTGTTAGGAAATGATTTTAAATTCTAGGATTTTAAATCACAGAAATTATTTTGAATTCTAGTATTTGGAACCAAAATGATTCTAAATAATTAAAATTAAACTTTATTGTTTGGATGTTGACGAAAAATGAAAATAAAGTATAACATTTACTATTATGTCTTTAATATTTTTCAGAATATTATATTATTAATAATATAATATTTAATATAAAGTAGTAATTTTAACCATGGAAAAATAAATAATTTAATCAAATAAACCTAACAAAAGTTACAACTTGTCAATGTCACATTTATTTTAAAAATTAAACTGAAAAAAAAAACTTGCAAATCTCCTGATTCAACCCTTTTTTTTAGCAACTTTGAATTCAAATATTGAAAACAATAAAAAAGAGGAAACATTATAAAAAAAACATAAACATAAAGATCTAAAGAATATTGAGGAAAATTAAATACATCAAAAATAAAATAGAAAAATAAACCTTGATGATGAAAAAATGTATAG